AATCACAGGTATTATATCAGAGTTTTCCTTCTCCTAGAATTTTGTTCTCAAATGGTGTGGTAGGCCTCATAGGTGTGGCAGAAGAGAATAGCAGGTGAGGCAGAATGATTGAAAGACAAACAAAGATTTAGAAGCAGTTTCAAAAAATTCATATGCCAAAAATAAATATGATTTCAAAATTTAAAATATTATGGATTATTATTGTAATTGCATGCATGAGTCCCAGTATAGTTATAAATAATCCTTGACCAATTTTATCACTGTGATATTTTTTCATTATCTCAAGTATTAAGAATATAGTAACTTTCTTTCTTTTTATGTGCCATGTCCTTTCAGGATGTAGACGATCATGGCTCTCCACCTCCTTCTATCCCTTGCAGCATCCCTCTACTTCCTCTTCCAGACCACATTCTGTCATTCACTTGCACCAAGTATGTCACACATTGTTTTCCCTTGTCTCTCCTTGCCTCTATTTGACTTGTGAGTATCAGATTCTCCAAGCCCTCCTTCCTCATTATGTGTCCCAGAAACTTCAGCTACCTCTAGGCTTTGCAAATTGGAGGAGAGAGTTATGAATGATAATGTTCTGACTTTAAACCTGTGGTTATCTCCCTTTAACCCTGTCTCTGTATTTTTTTTTAACATAAAATTTGGTGAGGCACAAGTAAATTTTCATTCCGAAAATGTGGTCCAGAGGAAAAAAGTTTGGGAACCACTGTCCTAGGGAGATGTCTTAAATGAAGACCAATAGTCTTTCACTCCCAGAATGTCTGAATACCAACCTAAGTATTTCTATGTCCCCATACATATATATATATATATATATATACAATAGAACATTGTACATTCTCTCTCTCTCTCTCTCACACACACACATGCATATTTTCACATTTTGTGTGTGTGTGTGTGTGTATGCATCCTTCATTAAATATAATGGACTTTAGTAACCCTCATTTTGATTTTCAAACATTTTCTTGAATTTCATTGGTTGTTAAATAAAAATAAGCTTCGAGAAAATTCCATAACAAAACAGTCAAAATTTGTGCAAAAATAAGCTCAACTAACATAAAAAAAAATCTTTCTCAAATTCATCCCTAATTTAAATGTTTCAAGAAATCCTATTGGCTAAAAAATAAAAAATACAACATTCACCCATGCATTTCTCAGAAAAATTCGCAACAAGATACCAAGCCACTGGAGCCAATTTTGTTGTTAAAAAAACTATAAATAGAAACAGCAAATGAATTTTCATCGCATTTTGAGACTCACACATGCAAAGATACACACAGGAATTGTGTGTCAAAATTGCCGCCAAAGAAACAAACTTCTTTATGAGAGATTAGAAAAATTCACCCAATAAACTTTTTCACTTAATATCATTCATAGAAAAATTTTAAATTCAACCTTTCAATCAAGGGCAGACAACTTTTTAGACATTGAACATTTCCAAAACAGCAAAGAACCTTTTCTCTATACTTTTGCACACATCATTACAAACAAAGAAATTGTAAATTGTGTATATAAAATTTAATCTGTTGTTTCAAACATGTATTTTTTGTTGTGATTGAATATCGTTACCATTTGGCTATTTCTTATAATTTATGTTTGTGGATATTGCATATTTTATTTGCAGCACAATCATAAATATTCATGCATCCTTCTTAGATCCACTAAAGGACAAGGGATATTTTGTAAATTTTTTCTTCAATTTTTTCTTGTGTCCTACAATTTTCCTCTTTGAGGACTGAGTGTGAGGCAAAACTGTCCATAATGTTTATTGTCTCAAGTGCTTTCAGCATTTTAACCATTTTCAATGGTTAATTTTTATGTTAACAAGGATTGATAATATATTTTTACTTTGTCTCTTATACTGTGTTATGTGAGAGACATTTTTTTTGTAGCAGCAATTTCATTCTTAGTTGAGTTTTTGTTTAGCTTGGTTTGAAATTGCTCAAAATTTACTAATGACTAGAGGATACAATGGCTGAAACTGTGATAATAGCAACTGTAATATGTCTTGCCTCAGATGACACCATAACAGACTTTTCACTCAGTATGATGTAAGAGAAGCCAGGTGCATTAGCATGTTGGCATGGTAGATGACCTCCGGGTCACAAATTGTAGATTCACACCTCACAAGTAGTCAGTGGATGTCCTTGATGGGCATGTGGGAAAGAACTGTGTGTCAGGCAGATATATAAAACCCCACTCCAGGGAGAAGAGAGACTAAGACATTGCACATGACAATGTAAGTTCCATATTCAGATGAGGGCTTAAAGCTACAGATTCTGGTTAAAAGTAATTGACATAGTCAAGAATCAAATAAAATGTAATGTTACATATAGCAGATTCAGTTTCATATTTTCATTAGTTATAAAGCCACTAAGATGCTAGGGGTTACTGAGTGTGAAAGAATAAAAGAAAAAGAAAACATCATTAAGGAGAGAGAACAATAAAAGTACAGGAATTATGAAGACAGAAGATAATGATTGACATTGCATTTAAATTTTTGAAGATCAAACTTGGCTGGAAAGCAAGAAGCTAGAAAAGAGTTCAACAGGTGAGAAGTGTGAGAGAAGAAACTGTTAGCAGAGAAGTTATGGTTACATCTAGCTATCTCAACTGTAAAATGATGAGACCTCATCACCAATCTCATACAGCTCTTAAATTCATAAAGTCCAAGTACTATAGAGAAAAGTTCATCAGACCAATTACAATGAAAGTATTTATAGGAAAGACACAAGGAAACTACATTACAGTCGTGGAAAAGTGACTAATGCTGAGATTCTAGGTCAGCACCAATAACATTGCAGATTCTTCTTTTATCAAGAATCTTTAAATACATAACAGAAGCACCAGACCAGATGTGGCATCTATATTCAAAGCAAGGATGATTGGTAGAATTACATTCATAAAGTCTAGGTACCAAAGAGGAAAGAACAATTATTAGTGCTGTTAAAAAGCAGGCAATGACCGAAGAAATTGCCATGGAGTCCTGTACTAACATTGAAGAAACAATGAGATAATATCATCTTATTTCATCACATCAAATGCCACATAGGCTAGGATGTGGCCTCAGAGATTGTCACAGTGCCCTATAGAGGTTATAGCAGATATTAAAGCTTTTTGCCAGACACACATGTGTGAAAGACCCTATCAGAAGCAGTAACTCCTATTCAGCTTTTGGGTATATGTAAAAAGAAAAAAACTGGGAACGTGTATCCTGTGAACCTAAAGAGGCTAGTTCTTTTTTACTTCAGTCTATGATTGGGATAGGATGCTAAAATTAGCACTCTGTGCTGTATCTATACATGGCTTGGACTGTACACATAACTTACCCTCTAATTCTCCAGCAGAGTAAGTTCAACTTTTCCTACTCTTAAGAACATTCTTTAAAATTTTCTCTACATGAAAAATATTCCTGATAGAATAAATATTTTATTCTTGTTTTGCTTCACTCTTTTGTTTGCCTATTTTCTCAACCAACTCAACACTTTTAGTTTTTGTTTAACACACGACACCTCAACTTCAAATGACAACCCTAACGAAGTAACAAGGTGTAGGAGAATATCACTTCGATATAGGGAGAGAGAAGACATTGGCCACCATGGACGAATGTTGGACATGACCAGTGACAGGTGCTGGTTGATTCCTTGAGTTTAGTAAATGTTCTCTAAGTTATACACACACTCCTATTTTTATGATGAAGTAATGAAAAATCTAAATGATTTGAACTAAACACATTAAGGAGTTGACAGCTCTTTTAGCCAAGGTATTTTAATGTAGGATATGTTTCTAATTATGGAATGGGTTCTCCTACAGTGATCATGTAATGATTATTTCTCTGAGTTTTGAAATATGGGGAACCAGTTTAAGGATGTGAAGTTTCTTCTCCTTAAAGTTTTGTTTTGATAGTCACTAAAATATGCATTATGTAGTGAGCAGAATATGCACTGTAGTCATAATAGAATTGTTATCTTAATTTGAAAGCACCAAAAGAGATTCTCAACTGAATGGACCACTAATAAACTAAACAGGTGTTTTTTCTCAACATTGACTAAAGTTGGGAATGCAGTTACTATCCTGGGATCAGGTCAGTTGATCCTGTGAGAGCTGGATGAGAGTCACCAGCACTCAAGTTGGCTGATTTGTGTCTGACAGAGGAACTGAAGGTAATATTGGAGATGGATATCAACAGAAGAAGTTAATACAGTGAAATAGAGACAAATATTAAAAAGGAAAATAATGTTGCTAAAATTGTTGCACAATTTTAATTTTTAAAGGAAATAAATTAAGTGACTAATTGTTATATGTTTCAATGGTTATGACAAAGATTGTGATAATAATGGATTATGGTGATGATAATGCAATGAAAATAAAAAGAAATGAATCATGCAGATTAATGGAAAGAAAAAAACAAAAAGTTTTTTAGTGTGTAACAAGTTACATGTGTATGTGTGCATGTATTAGTAGAGTTTCACTGTCTTTTATGAGTGTGTATATAAGCCTATAGCAGCCATATTGTTTTACATTCTTATGAATGCAGTGACAGTTGATGAGGTCAACAGGTTTCAATGTTTCCTGCTTGTTTAACTTCATGTGCTGATTTTGTGAAAGTGGGGTGGAAAGAGAAAAAAACGTGAGATAGGAAGAAAGGAAAAGTATAAGAATAATAGTATAAAATTTTTACTTGTGTTGCAAAAAAGTTAAGTTGAAAAAAATAAAAATATAAAAAATAAAAATATAAAAAATAAAAGTTAAGTTGAAAAAAGTAAAAAAAAGAAAAGGGTTTTGTCATAGGAACTTTTTGCTTGATTGTCTATAATTTTTATTTTTTCACAAAGTAAAAAAAAGAATATTAAAATATTTTTTAAACAACAAATGGTATATAAATTTGGAAAGCTGGAATATTTAGGCAGATTAAAAAATATTTTATTACTAGTAAATGTAACTTTTGCAATAATGCTTGAAAAACATAAATTGGCTTATATCCAAATCACATTGAAACACCAGCACCCATACAATTACTGAAGTTAAGCAACATTGAGCCTGGTCAGTACCTAGATGGATGACTGCTTGGAAATAACAGGTGCTGTGAGCTTAAATGTGTGAGTGGCGTAATTGATTGGAATTGTTAATCAGAAAACCGAGTTCTAATTTCCATTAGGTTTGTTATATTCTGATACAAGCAAATTCCCTTGGGAAAGGTATGACTCTACTTCTTCTCACCCCAGTTATGGGTTAATTAGTAAAACTTGTATCACTTAACATTTATTATCTTCTCCCTCCAAATTCTTACAATCTAAAAATATTTTCTGGCTTGAAATAACCTTCAAATAGAAAATGAATCCATCATGCAAACATCAATTAAAATGCCAGAAAATTAAAGGGAACATTTTAATTGCTTCCAAGTTAAAAGTGAAAGAGAGAATTTGTCCAAAGTCATGTAAAGTCATTAAAAAGTTGATATAGCATTGAAAATGTTAACAGAGAAAAATAGTTTTTGAGCAGAAGACTTAAGAGAGAAATTGTGATGTATGAAAGGCCTAAGGTAAGATAAGTGGAGATTTTAATGTTAAGCAAATTTTAATGAAAAAAATGATAATAGTGATGTTTTTTATTTTCGGAATTTATATTGGAATTTTTATTAAAAATTTTTATTTAAGAAAATTATAAAAAAAATTGTACAAAAATGCTTCTACAGGGCTGGAGTATAGCAAAAACAACTTTTAAAAGATTGTAATATATACAAATGAATTATGATTGAAAAAATAAAAAGAAAAGAACTTTTGAATATTATTGTCTCAAATTTTGTGCAGATTTCTAAAGAGTAAAGAAAGTAATGAAAATTGAATGCCTATTTCTATAGAACATAGAAAATGCAGAAAATAAACTTTTTTTTTAATGTTTTGTTGACTTTGCAGCAACATGAGACTGTTGATATATATGTCATTTTTTTTTCTGACATTTTTATATACATGTATCTTATGGCTTGTAACAGTTGGTTAGAGAAAATGTATAGTTGATTAATTCATTAAAAAATAAATTCATAACTCTGGGGAAATTATGAATTTGAAAAAATATAGGTGAGGTGTGTAGTATGTATCTCACCCCAGATCATACCAAAATAGACTTTGTACTTTGTGATATCAGAGAAGCCAGGTGCATTGGCAGGTAAACCTGACAGATGTTCTCCTGGCCACCAAGTGAAGAGCTGAACCACAAAGGATACCAAGTGCTTCCCTGACATGTAAAAACATGCTGGGCATGTGTGTTAAAGAACCATACAACAGATTGATAGATAAACACCAACCTAAGTAAAGAAAAGAAGGTAATCATTCAGATATTGTACACTAGAATGTAATGCGTGATCTCTGTAGTCATGTTCGTTCACTTGAAGAGCCTCCTAGCAATACCCTGTTAAGCCATTGAAACAGTACTGTTAGAATCATAGACATTCAATGAATAGCGTTCAACCATTCTAGAATGAATGTAGCTTCCAGTACAACCACTATCAATTAAACCATCTGTCTCTCTTTCATTCAAAGAAACTTTTGCAATTGCCTTCATCTGTGAACAGAGGGTACAGCAGCTGAAAAGTTGTGACTATAACAATGAAGATGTGCATGCTGGTTCAAATATAAAGCATATAAATCTCACTTCAGTAAATAAGTGTAAATATTTCTAATAAAAACAGATATTATAGGCTGAAATATACCAGAAAATTCTACCAACATCATTTTATATCTGGGAAATTGTAATTCAAGAAATTTCTGTCATGAACATTATAGCATATAATAATTCATTTGTGATATGGATATTACTTAAATAGACTGGTCCACTTGTAAAAAATTGAAAAACTTTTTTTGAGAAATAATTTTTGTAGATTAGCTTTATCTAAACCTTCCTTAGGATATGACACTTGTCAGGAGAAAAATTGATTTATTTTATCAATTTAGAAAGGGTGTCCTTTCTATAATATTAATACAGTGTCAAATTAATCCCTAACTTTTACCGAGTTAATGGATTAGACTGTCACTTAGCTCTTATTTACAAATGTTAGGTTTTAAATTGTGCTGACATCATTGATATTCACATATTTTTATTTTTTTTTAATTCTTTTTACCATTTTTTAAAAGTTTTTAATTTAAAAAAACATTTCTTTCAATTTTTGTATGTGATTTTTTGAAAGCATATGAACAAACATTTGAGTTTAATAATTATTTATCTTAAATGAAAATAAAGATACATAATTTTCTTTATTTATGTAAATTTTTGTTCTTTAATAAATGTGAATGTCAATGTGTCACCATGTCACACTTTTTTTAACTTTACTTCTAGATCCTGTAGCCAAAATATCATACCAATTTGGAATCAGGCTGACTTTGTAAGCAAATTAAAAACATTCCAGACCAGATCCAAACCCACAATACTGAAATTGTGGATTCCCAAGTTTTCATTATTAAAATTGTTTTTAGCAAGATTTTACATGATTTTTTGCAACATTTTTTTTGTATGATAACAGTTTTTATAACTTGGGAATAAATTTGTGAATAATCAAAATTAAATGTGAAATCCAGTGAAAGTCACCCATGAAATAAAAATAATTGCTTGTATGGAAAGTAAGGACCTAGTTTATTATTGCATATCTCATCTACTCCTCCTGACTTATTGTGATGAAGGCCTAATCAAGAGCCCTCTGCAGGACCTAGCTTAAATAAGCTAGTTAAAAATATATTTGTTTGTTCTTTATTTAAAAGAAATCTTTTTGTAACAATAGTATAAAAAGTTTGTTTTCATATGCAAAACAACTAAATCAATAACTCTGTAAAAGTCAGGGATCAATTTAACACTGTATTAATATCTTAATCAATAACAAATCAATATTTTTTTATTCAAACAACTGTCACAGCATAAGAATGGTTTAAGAATTTGAATTTATAAAAACTATTTTAAAAAATAATTTTCACTTTTTTTTATGAGTCAATAAATCTAGTTAAGTAGTGTCAAGATGCTTTATGTAATTTGTAATATCTATTATTTTCAAAGCCAAAGGTCAAGGTCATATTATTTTATTATTAAATCACATCTACATATTGATAATTCAGATAAATGAATAAGTTACAAGATTAAAAGAAAGAATAAAAGTATTATATAAAGTGTCAACATGGATTAAGAAAACAAAATCAAATATGCTTAATGTAAAATTAGGAAAGTCAAAGATTATGGATTATACTAACATCAAAGCTGACAGGATTATTTACATATGGATTGGAACTTCTGATGAGAATTAGAGTATATGGGTGCTCTGCCTAGAATCAAAGTGTTAATTTCCAGTGTAGTATTTGTTCTCTCTCACACAAAAATATATATATATATATATATATATATATATATATATATATATATATATATATATATATATATATATATATAGAATTAATACAAGTAAAAGGTTTATCACTTTGCTGATTGATGTTATCTTCAGCATTCCAACTCCAGAGTTTTGTAGATGAACCTTCTGGAATTCACTCCATCCACTCATCAGGGTGTATCAGCAATTGACTGTTTATACTTCTCAATTTTTATTTCTTATATGCACTTTTCATTGATGCAAGTTTTCTTTTCCATAGTGTATTTGTGCATGTATGTGTGAGTTTGTGTGCATGTGCTCATGTGCCTGTCTGCATGTATATGTCATGGTTATTTTTCCTTTTCATCATCTTTTTCACTTTACATTCACTCCTTATTGTTTTTTATCTTTTCTCTATTTTTCTCTTTTCTCTTAGTTGTAACTATTGTGACTTCTGATTTTCCAGACATAAAGTGTTATATATATAAACAGGGTAATTGACATCAATCAGCATAAGTTTTTGTATATTTTTGTATAACTTTTGAGTCTTTAATAAAGAAAATGTACCTGTCATTTGGTTTGAACCTGAATCTCTCTAGACATAACTGGAATACTTTTAGACTGCTCTGCTATAAAGGACTTTCATGGCAAGCAAGGCTCAATTACAGTTTAAAGAACACACACATACATGTATATATTATTCTACCTACCAACTTTATCACAACTACAATTGAAAGTAATTTATCTAAACTTAACAAGATTTTTGCAACTATTTCTAAAACAATAAAAGAATTAAGTAATACAAATAATTTTATCTATTATCACAATGTTGGATACTTAATAATAAAAGTGATAAAAAAAAAACATGAAAAGAAGATCTGCCAAGAAAAGTTAAATGATGCAAGAAGCTGTGGATGATCTAACAATCAGATTCTTACAATATTTCACGTTTCTTGAAAGATATTCTATTATCTCAATATGGGATACTTAATAATAAAAGTGATAAAAAAAAAACATGAAAAGAAGATCTGCCACGAAAAGTTAAATGATGCAAGAAGCTGTGGATGATCTAACAATCAGATTCTTACAACATTTCACCTTTCTTGAAAGATATTCTATTATCACAATATGGGATACTTAATAATAAAAGTGATAAAAAAAAACATGAAAAGAAGATCTGCCAAGAAAAGTTAAATGATGCAAGAAGCTGTGGATGATCTAACAATCAGATTCTTACAATATTTCACCTTTCTTGGAAGATATTCTATTATCTCAATGTTGGATACTTAATAATAAAAGTGATAAAAAAAAAACATGAAAAGAAGATCTGCCACGAAAAGTTAAATGATGCAAGAAGCTGTGGATGATCTAACAATCAGATTCTTACAATATTTCACCTTTCTTGGAAGATATTCTATTATCTCAATGTTGGATACTTAATAATAAAAGTGATAAAAAAAAACATGAAAAGAAGATCTGCCAAGAAAAGTTAAATGATGCAAGAAGCTGTGGATGATCTAACAATCAGATTCTTACAATATTTCACCTTTCTTGAAAGATATTCTATTATCACAATATGGGATACTTAATAATAAAATAAAAAAAAAACATGAAAAGAAGATCTGCCAAGAAAAGTTAAATGATGCAAGAAGCTGTGGATGATCTAACAATCAGATTCTTACAATATTTCACCTTTCTTGGAAGATATTCTATTATCTCAATGTTGGATACTTAATAATAAAAGTG